GTTACTCCTTTGCAATATATTGCAAAAGTTACAAAGTATAAAAATGAATTAATAAGTATCCTACAAAACTGAAACATGTAGTATCTTTTCTTTTAAATGGACTAAAGTGAGACTCACCTTGTAGACTTGTAATTCTGAAGGCCTTTCAATCTTAAAGTATCAAGTACCTAGTATCAACAAACTAAGTTAACCTACCCCAACATTTCTGTCTAAACTATATTGATGGTCTTGATCACTAGTTTGATTTATGATACCTTCATATCCCTCCTTGCTTTCATCTCGTCAAATATAATTTCATAAATTAATGTGGAATTTTTAATTATACCATCAGTCCTTGAATAACAAAGAGATTCAAGCTGAAGTTGAGTCTCTTATCTCATTGTTCAAACCTACCTTTAAATTGCTATGTAGCCATCTGAAAAATAACCCAATATAACCCAATATTGGTTTAATTAATTATTTAACTAATTTTGAGCCCTCTGTTTTTTAGCCTCTAATCTTGATGCAAAATGTTTACTGATTACTTGCAGCATAGAAGTAAACTCTGTAACACTGAAATGCCAATTAGGGAATATTTCATCACTCTAGTTGTAGAATAAGGAACGAGATTCATTAAGCTAAAAGTTAATTAGTTAACCAAGAATTTATCTGGTACGTTGGGAATCCATGTCATTTAATATAGTTTGGGAAGCTGCACCATTCCTCTGGCTCTGACAGTACACTGTCTTATGAAGAATATTAATAATGCTGCAAAACAATTGCTATTTAATTTGATAACCAGTTAAAAATAATGTATAATTTATGGGTACATGAAGGGATTTTATCATGCATCCCTTTAAACATCTTCAGGAGGCTGAAAATAAATGTATATACAACTATGTATATGCTTTGCTTTCAGCCTAGGGAAAAAAACTGTATGCAGAACTATATTATCTTTGCTAATTCATAGCTTTTTTTCCATAAGATTCAATATTATCATTTTTAAAATCAATATTACCATTTTTAAAAGTCCAACTCCCAAACTTTATATACTCTTCTAAAAGCTTGCAAAATGGAGCAAATTAAAATGGGCATGGGAAATAAAGAGTATGTACTCTCAGGAATATGAACCATTAAATAATCATATAAAAATCTTGTTTTTTTAAACATGAGTTTATATTATGATAATAACTATATCAAGCTTTCAGTCCGCTGTTTCAGTTTTAATAGGAAATTCTGATTGATAAATTTGATGAATAGCAGTTTATTACTATACTTCCTCACACGTCTAATCAATTATTACACACACCCCCAGGTTGTTTCTCTTCCTTTGTTGTTATTTTTGAACTGATGAAATTGATAGGCAGTGAAAAGTGGTGTGTGTTCTGTGAAAAAACCCATAGAAGGCAATCCCTTTTGATTATTTGAAAGCCAGAAATGCTGCGGAAAAAGGATGATGCAAGGGGAAGACAGTGTCTCTGCCTCACTCTGTTCTTCCTTCCCTCAACACACAAATCCCAAAATCCTTCACTACCTTGGATAAAAGCAGACTTAAGAGCCCTCTTCCATTCATGTGAATCTTTCTGAAACCTTTTAATTTGAAAAACAGCAATTTCTTTTATCAAATGAAATAAGAATAAAAAAAATAAGGCACCATAATGTTCACATTCAGTTCAATTTCTTCAATATTCTTTCAGGGGAATAAACATTATTTCCTTCCTTCCTTCCTTCCCTCCCTCCCTCCTTCCTATGTACAAGAACTTAGGGCTCCCTCTTCTATTCTAAGAGGCAAATCAGAGACAATGATTGGCCCAGAGGCATTAAATGAGCTGAAGGAGGACTATAACCTGGACTAGAACTTGGGTCTCTTGACTCCAACATCTTAACCTCAACACACATACTGGCTCTTATCAATCAGTAATGATCAGCACCAATGAATTTAATCATGGAACCCACAGTAATGTTTATTGCCTAGGCCAAATTCATTCCTCAACTGGCTCCATTGACCATGCTCCTTACTAACTTTTTTGACCAAAACATTAGATTTTTTTAATAATATGGATTTAATTGTTCTCATAATACTAATAAACCAGAGCACCAAGCCTAAAGCAAAATGTAAGCATCCTTATTTTCGTTGCAAGAAAGTCTTCATCTACTTGCAGAAAATTTCTTACGAAATGACAGGGTTTTTTTCCATCAAAGGCAAAGACTTCTGATTCTTCCTAACCCAAATAAGATTTAGAAGACTCCAGTGTAATAAATTATGCCAAATATATTAACACCCCATTCTGAAGCCTTTAGTTATTTTGAAGTATTTGATAGAAATGAAATTACATTTCTTGAAAAATTGTTATTGGAAAGGGGATTTAAGTATTAAGTTCATTTGCATAATTAATTGCATATATCCCTGAGCAGTAAATAGCATTAATGGATAGAATGTTTCTCTTAACAAATCCACCTAACAAACATAGAATCTTATTTCTGTTTTGCTTGATCTCATTATAGAAGGGTTAACACAGAATATTCTGAACAGCTAAAATATTTATTCTAATATAAAAACAAAGCATCATGTAATTAATCTGTTTGCAGATGACATACTCATATTTCTTCAGAGTGGAGATCTAATTTAGCTGCAGGTTTAGCAGGTTTAACTCTTTTATGATCTCTTCCTAGACATCCAGGTGATTTATGCTTCTTATCTTTTATCAGATAAGCAGTCTATTATTCTTCATAAAATACTAGATGTTATAGGGTGATTAATAAACCCTGGCAAAAAATTAGTGCTAATTTGCTTGTCATCTGTAGCTATAATACTATTCCTAGATAGCACTAAAATTCATCACAACCCTTACCTGAGCAATATTTTTGAACCAAGATATTTGGATACAGAATGTATCCAAAACCTGGGAGCTTGACATCCAATGGAGTGAAATTTGAGAAAGTTGGGAAACTTTGCTTCAATGCTATTGGCTGTTGCGGTGCTGCTGGGCTATTGCTGTGGTCACATGATCTTCATTTTCAGTACCTTGTGACAGTGTCCAGCCAGTCTCACAATCCTTTGTGTCCTTGCCAACCTAGCAGCGGTCACTTATCTGTTTGCTGGAAAGAGAAGGGAAGGAGAGAGGAAGGAGAAAATAGGGAGGATGGGAAGGGTGAATGGGAAGGAAGAAACAGGAAGAGAGCTTGCTTTCTTCTATTTCTTCATCTTTGGCAATTTCTCAACAAATTAATCCTTAATAACTTATTTATGTTTATTCCGTACTTCCTTTGCTTCTCTATGTGAGGGTTGTAAATTCAGCCCTGTGATTGATGAGGGGTGAATCGTGGTTTTCCTTGAAGTATACCTTATGACTAAGTGAAATAAGCCCGAGGTAGATTCTAAGAAAACACATTTTTATTGTAAAATAAATAATAAATAAAATAAATAACAAACAAACTTACTGGCTAATAACTACATTCTGGTAAAGTTCCTAGCCTACCTCCTCGTGGCAGGCAAAACAGAATGAGAAAGAGAAAGGCAAAAAGAGACATGTGTAGTAGGCTTACAGAGAAGAATCAGCCTACCGTATGTCTTAGAATATACCCACAGCTGCCAAAACAAAAAACATCATGACACTCTATTAATGTGGTTCAGGACTTTAAAGTGATTTCTGAAACTGTCCTTGAAAATGATGGGTATGTATTCAAGATTGTATCATAGAAATTGGTTGGCTTTCTTCTTCTTTAGCTTAACTTGGAACTTCACACAAATATTTCATGATCTGTTCCACAGTCAGTATGTAGTCATGTCTTTGATGCTATAATCAAGTTACTTCCCATTATTTTAGTAATAATGTAGTCAATTTGATTTCTATGTGTTCCATCTGATGCCATCCATGTATAGAGGTGTTGTTTTGTTATTTGAAGATAGTGTTATCTAGTGTAGTGCCAAAAGAAGCATATTTCCCAGGTCTTATGGGATGACATTACTTAACTAATAGGACCTAGAACATGCCAACCCTGTCTGATAAAGTAGGGAGCAGGATTTCCTGATCAAGGAATAAGCACAATTGGTACCAAAGCTGAATTTGGGCAAAGATCCTCCAAATCATGTGCCGATAGTAAACAAGTAAAATAACTTGTTTGCAACAGTAGTAGAAAATTGTCATTGAAATTATATGGGATGTTTGAGATAATATGCTAGGTATTAACAATCTAAAGACATACATGCCTGAAACAGTATATAGTGTAAATGGTGGCCAGGCAGCTATGAAACTTTGAGGAATTTAATCTGCAGGAAAAAGAAAGCATCTAATTTGATGCTTTACTCTGACATGGTGGATTTCACAAGGCAGCATTTGAACTCCTTTTTTAATATTGTAGAAAACAACTATTTAATGTTCCATGATATTTTCACATAAAATAAAGCAGCTATCTAATGTTCCATGGCATTCTCTTTTTTCCAGGACAGAGAACAGACTTGGGAAATTGTTTGCAATAGTTGTTGTAGGCATTTTGCTTGGTTAATTCTTCAGCTTTGGAACTTGCTTTGTTGTAGTCCATCCGAATGAGAAAGCCCTATTTACCTTAACTTTAGCTTTAGGCATAATTGAATTGGAAAATGCTTGTAATGAAAAATGAAGCCTCTTATTGGGTTCATTCTATTTAGCAATGTATGTATTTTCTTAATTTTTCTATTAAGAAATTTCACTTTTTAAAAATATCGCTACTCATTTGCAGAAAATCAGAGATTGTATTTTATTTTTGTTTGACTTTTAAGTTTATCTATAAACACTTATACAGATATATGCCTATATATTATTGATTAAGAACAATAAGAGCCACTTGCTGAGAAGAATGGCTTTAGAAATCAAATACATAAATAAATAAACTTTATAAAGTATGTTTAAATATTCATCCATTTACTTAGAATGATAGTTATTGTGCAATCTTTACGATTCTGAACTCTGTCTTGATTTTTACTTACTATCTTACTGTTTTATTATCTTTCTCACTCAGTTGGCTTTTGTTCTATTTTACAGAACCTCCTAGACCAATAGCTCCCCCACAGTTGCTTGGTGTTGGACCAACCTATCTGCTCATTCAGCTGAATGCAAATTCCATTATTGGGGATGGACCAATCATCCTAAAAGAGGTGGAATACCATATGACAACAGGGACCTGGACAGAAACGCATGCTGTCAATGCACCAACATATAAGCTGTGGCATTTGGACCCAGACACAGAGTATGAGATTCGTGTTCTTCTAACCAGGCCTGGAGAAGGTGGCACAGGTCAGCCAGGCCCTCCACTGATTACCCGAACCAAATGTGCAGGTAATACATTTCTTCCTGTCACTCTTCTATGTTTTCCAATGATGAAACAATCCTAAAATATTATAATATAGCAATTCTTAAGGTAGTAACCAACAAATGAAATGGGTACTGAATGTGTACTGGCTCCTTTCTTTTAATAGTAAAAAAAAAAGCAGGGATCTAAAGCTGTAGAGATTTAATTCTAAAGAATATATAGAATAGCTTCTACAAATGAGATTTAATTCTAAGGAATTTGTAGAATAGCTTCAGCCGGCAATAATCCTCAACTTTTCATATAAAATGAAGATACTGTTTATGGTGTGTGTGTATGTGTGTGTGAGAGAGGGGGGGATATCTTATGTGTCTATCAGATAAATAAATTGATCTACATTATACTTGATATTTACAATGTACTTTAAATACAGTTTTAAAACATTGTTGAACTTGAACATTTGAATACAATGAACAAGTGAAAAACAGCACTGTAAATACATTTCTATTTCTGTTATAAAATTGTAAATATTTATAATGGATTGAGTCTTTTGTTCCACAAAACAGCCTTTATTTTCTGGTAGAAAAGTAGTTTCTTAATATGGAATGACACATTTCTCTCAAACTCCAATGAGCTGATATGTGATTACTACTTTGAATCAGATGAGGAGTGAGCCAGGGAGTGTGCAACTGTCCAGCATGTTTCGAGTTGAAAGGAACTGGTGGAGGATGTGCCATTTTTCTATTGACCTTCTCCCTACGAGTTGCCCATAAGCAATGGCTGTGCTAATGGGAAGATGAGAAGGAGCGTCATCTATCATAACAGTTCCTTCCTGGTTCTCCATTGACTTTTGGGAAGCTCTCAGGAAACACTGAAAGTGAAGATCATCTGCAATCACCTGACAGCAGGAGCTGTTTTATGTCATTGAAGCAGCAACCAATTTATCAAGTAATGGGCCCTAGCATTCTCTATGTTTGTCCATTTGAGGTACCTTTGTTGACAAAGTTTGCCCTAAGCTCGGTTTATGCCCAATTGAAATTTATAATGTATCAAATCCAAATGAGAGTTTTAGTAGTATATAGATTTTGAAATATGACTGAAGAGGGTCAATTCTTTGACACCTTTGAAACACAACTTATTTTCATTGGGCTGGCATTGCTGACATAAGCTTTGTTTTGTTTTTGTTTTTACTTTTAACATTGAGCAGTAGAGTAGATTTTGTGTTATCTTCTTTCACCTTTAGAAAAAGAGTCTTTAATTCTTCTTCACTTGCAGCCATCAAAGGGATACTCTCAGCATATCTGAGGTTGTTATTCTTCTTCCCAGCAATTATAATTCCAATTTCTATTTCTTCTAATCCAGCATTTTTCTTAATGTGTTTTGTACATAAGTTAAAGAAATATAGCGATAGCATACAACCTTGGTACACTCCTTTCCCAAATACAGATATAAAACATTATATGACATTCAATTAGGAAAGGAAGATCTAGGATACTTCAGAGTAACAGGAATATCTACCCCTCCACCCCCAGACATAGAGATTATAGAAAGGTAAGGTTTCACGGGTCCAAGAGAAAGTTTATATCAACAGTAATGCAACTGAAGATTCAAAAAAAAAATGTTACATGACTCATTTATTAAATTGAATGTCTTCCTGTTTTATTCTGCATAAAACACAGCCCTTTGAGGCTGCTGCCCTAACATTTATGATGAAAGTACATACACAGTTGTCTCTGTGTTTAATGGTGTTCTGCCCCAGGCATAATTTAGATGTGAACAAGATACAAGCTATAATACTTTTTGGATTTTCAGCCTGAGGACATTCTCTTCTTTATCTCCTTCCAAGGATAGCCTGTTCTTTTTCAATCCATAGAAGTCAAGCAGTAGCTCATTAAGGAACACTGCTAGCTGCTACAGAAGAGGAAGGTCAGTTGTTGAGCTAGAATAGCTCATCTTCAGACAGCTTCAAACCTTTGCACAGCTAATACTGCAAATAAAGACGTAAGAGGAGCCCTGTGTAGCCTAATATAGTGTTGTAGCCATATCTCCCACTCCTTTTAGTTGAAAAAGTACTTTTATCAGATTCATTTAAAAAAAATACCTTCATTATTCTACAGTCTTGAGTGTTCTTCACTGGGCCTTTTGAAGAAAGTTTGCCTGAAGTGGATTGTTCCCGTTGCAGGAGAAAGCATTTTAAGGAGGGATTCCATGTAAATTTGCTATATTTTAGACATGAAATCCAGAATACATATGAAGCAAATGAGAGAGAGAAACCAACTATGAGGCCAACTGCTATAAGGAGAAAGAACTTTAGTTCAACAAAGAGACAGGTAGGGAGAGCAATCACATTCCATGGGGAAAACACAGTGTACAAAGCTGATATGGAGAATAGTTTTACGGGAAAAAGTGGTGTGTATGAAGGCCTAAATATTTTATTCTGTATTTTAATGATGCCTAAGTAAGAATTGTTAGTTTTTAAGGCCTTTTAGTCCAATATGACATTAATACATCAGCAAGTATTGCTGTGGATGTGGTGGCTCAGTGGCTAAGACATTGAGCTTGTCAATCAGAAAGGTCAGCACTTTGGCAGTTCGAATCCCTAGCGCTGTGTAACAAAGTGAGCTCCTGTTACTTGTCTCATCTTCTGCCAACCTAGCAGTATGAAAGAATGTAAAAATGCAAGTAGAAAAATAGGGACCACTTTGGTGGGAAGGTAACAGTGTTCTGTGTGCCTTTGGTGTTTAGTCATGCCAACCACATGACCACAGAGATGACTTCAGACAGCGCTGGATCTTCAGCTTTGAAACAGAGATGAGTACTGCCCCCTAGAGTCGGGAACAACTAGCACATATGTACGAGGGAAACCTTTACCTTTACCTTAAGTATTGCAGGCCCAATTAGCAAAAGAAAGTGTGGGACTGTATTGGTTGGAAACGTGTGGAAGAGGCCTTCATCCTGCAGTGGATAGACAGTAGCTAAAATGATGATGACAATGACATAAATATAGCCAAGGAAGTTCTGAAGTCACAGAAGCCTGGGGAGATTCATCAGAAAGACCAACAAAGCAAAGAGCCTTGGAGGAGATAGTGTATGTGAGAAATTATCCAATAAAAATGAGTCTGATAAGAAAAATAGTCAAAGAGTGTAATGCCCTGGTCTTTTGCCTGAGGTATACAATACAATACAATAGCAGAGTTGGAAGGGATTTTGGAGGTCTTCTACTCCAACCCCCTGCCTAGGCAGGAAACCCTATACCGTTTCAGACAAATGGCTATCCAACATCTTCTTAAAGACTTCCAGTGTTGGGGTATTCACAACTTCTGGAGGCAAGCTGTTCCACTGATTAATTTTTCTAACTGTCAAGAAATTTATCCTCAGTTCTAAGTTGCTTCTCTCCTGGATTAGTTTCCACCCATTGTTTCTTGTTCTACCCTCAGGTGCCTTGAAGAATAGTTTGACTCTCTCTTCTTTGTGGCAACCCCTGAGATAGTGGAACACTGCTATCATGTCTCCCCTAGTCCTTTTCATTAAACTAGACATACCCAGTTCCTGCAACCGTTCTTCATATGTTTTAGTCTCCAGTCTCCTAATCATCTTTGTTGCTCTTCTCTGCACTCTTTCTAGAGTCTCCACATCTTTTCTACATCGTGGTGATCAAAACTGAATTCAGTATTACAAGTGTGGCCGTACCAAGGCCTTATAAAGTGGTATTAACACTTCATGTGATCTTGAGTCTAGCCCGTTTATGTAGCCTAGAACTGTGTTGGCTTTTTTGGCAACTGCTGCTCACTGCTGGCTCATATTTAAATGGTTGTCCATTAGGACTCCAAAATCCCTCTCACAGTTACTACTATTGAGCAAGGTACCAACTATACTGTACCTTTGCATTTCATTTTTCTTGCCTAAATGTAGAACCTTACTCTTTTCACCATTGAATTTCATTTTATTAGATAGTGCCCAATGTTCAAGTTTGTCATTTGTTTGTATGTGTACCTTAAGTGTGATACAGTCTTAAAGGGATGAATAGTCTTATGTACTGTATCTGATCCCAAGCACTTTCTGCCAATAGTATCTGGTCAATTATGGTGATGTTTTAACCCAGCCCACCTTGTACTATTAATTTGAATATAGTTCATTTGGAAATACTGTGTTTGATTTGTTTATGTCAGGTTTCTCCTGTGATCATTTGGAATGGACAGTTAATTCCATGATCCATTCTCTCAGAGCTCTTATTTAAAAGGAAGGTTAAAATAGCAGCAATGCTGGCAAGCACTCTAATTCCAGATGAGAAATCTGTATACTGTATACACTGTTTCCCTGAAAATAAGACCTCCCCGTATAAAAAGCCCAATAGGGGTTTTGAGCGTATGCACTAAAATAAGCCTTCCCCTGAAAAATAAGCCCTCCCAAAAAATATTGCAACACAGCAGCAGCCAGGTGGTGACCACGCTCGCCGTCTCCTACACCTCAAAAATAATAAGACCTGCCCGAAAATAACGAGACAATGATTAGCCCAGAGGGATTACAAAGAATTTGTAAAGAATTTATATTTGAAGAAGTCAGTTTCTTTAGTTAGTTTCCTACCGAGTACCTGAGATTTACAATTCCATATGATAAATAAGAACAATATAAATCATTTCTCTTTCTCCAATATGAATTCAGCCTGGATTTTAGATGACATCTCATTCATGTTTGATTTATCATTGCTAATTTAGAGCTATCAGAAGGATTTTGACTATACACAAATAAACATTTGTTTTTTTAAAGAGGTAAATTATTTAAAAAAATGAAAAATGATTTACACTTTCAACATAAAATATGCTGTAGGAATGCATTACTGTCTCAGTAGCTAGTCAATTTTTAAGGTGTGATTTTGCTGTTGTAACAAAGGTTATTTATCATTGTTGTTACTTTCTGGGTTTGGCATCATCATCAACCAAAAGGTCATGGTTATGACTTTTTTCATTCCTATATAGGAAAGAAAAGCACATTTATTTGTCTTATTTTGTCTTATTTTAAAAGGAATATG